TAAACTTAGATACGAAAATAACTAGCTTGCTATACGGCCGATGGATCAAAAGGTTTTCCTGACGGATTCACATGCATAATGATTAATTTCTTCAAAGCCTATGAGAACATGTTGTGTGGACATTTTTTACACATCAAAACCAATTGCGACTTAAAGAACGAGGATACGTTTTCGATAGGGTGGAGTTTAAACATGCAGGCAAAGGCTTATTTCCAAGTCATTCCTTGGGAATTATATTCAAATAAACAGCGTTATAATTGATAATGTAGACATACACCAGGTGCAAAACAAAGGCAGGCCAAAGACTTTTATTGCAAGTCGTTACCGAGAGGAATCACGGTCTTTGAGTTCTTCTGGCGACCCCTCCGGTATGACTAACTTTTACCTGTCGCACCTCCAGTTCGATAAAATGATCACATTTTGGTCAGGATCTCTTTTGTGTAGCACTTCCGTCTACAGTTTGTATTTTCCATTAACGAAATGCAGTTACCGAGATCAATGCCAGCAGCTTTTTCCTTAGTGTTTGAACGCACTCTCGCCTGCTTATTAAAACAAATTGCTTCCGATACAGAAAGCTCGATTAATGTAGGAAAAGCTTCTTCCTTTCAACGTTAATTATCTAATTGATACGTGTATTAATAACGATATAAATGGACTAAGAGTGTGCGGATTTTTGTCACCTAGATACATCTTGCTTCATTTCTGGGTTAAACTAAACTCATTGAATTCAATTAAATTATTGCTGCAAATAAAGCAAGTCAATAAGTTTATGTGGCTTCACATAAAATGTTAATTCCTCCTTATTCAGGTATTGAAATAAAGTTAATGAGAAATTTTCAAATTTCAAATTTTAGTTTACTTTTAAGAAAATGCCTTTAAATGATTTCTGGACAGCGGTAAGAAATAACAACTTTATTTTTTATGCCCTTTTGCTTATTAAAATTAATTACTTTTATCCTGGAACACCCTGTATATTGTAAAAAGGAAAAAATCTGTGTGTTAGTTCATTAAATTTAATTAACGATTAAAAACCATTTCGAGTCAATCTTGGACACAGACAGTTTTGGACAAGTTTTGAATTTGAAACAAAAAAAGTCCGATAGTTTAAAACTATTCTAAAATAACTTATGTCATAATTTAAAAAAGCATTATTCCACATGCAACATTCTACATATAACACCAATATTCCCTCAATAATGCAATAAAACCCTCATTATCAGCAATGTGCCTAATTTAAAAGGTTTTCACGAAAAAATTAATTCGGCAATTATTGCAAAATTGCCCATCCAAATTCCTCAAAATTGTCACATAAACAACGCAAAATTCCGAAAAAAAAAACAAACTGAAATCACTAGATAATGGCATCGAATTCGGACAATTGATGTCGAACAAATCGGAGCCAATAAATTGCGCTTAAAAATAAAAAGCATTCGCAAAAGAAATAAAACTCTTGAGCACTGTTTAGGCAACAGCATATTAATCAATTTGGGTTTCGATTCGATGCCAAACCGTTGAAACCGCTTATATTTACCAAATTTTTCCCATGAATTGTTCCCGTACCCTGTGCGAAATGAAGCGTGCGTTGATCCAATCAACAAGAAAAACTGAAGAAACCGCAACCACTCGGCTGTTAGGATCATTAAACCATCGCGATCTAATTTTAATGTTGACAATCATTAGTGGCAATATTGAAACGTTTAATATTACAGTAATCAGACGACTTAATTCGTACACCACTTGAAAAAGGCTAAAGTGGCTTTTTTAGGTATTCAACGGGAATTTAAAGCAGACCAATTAGGAATAACTGCGCTGGTAAGTAAGCAAGCATTTCGAGCTGGCGACTTACCTTTGGTCAATATGGGAAGCAGCAGAAGTATGCGAAACAGTCGATGAACGTTGAAGGCTTTTTGCCAGTCTGCCATCGCCTACATTGCATCTGGAACGAACGAAGAATTCTAGATTAAGTCCACAAACACAGTTGTTTTGCTACCAGTGGTTTTCTGCTTAAATTTGCTTTATGAGCTGAGATAATGGCAGAACAGGCAATTATAAATTCAAAATAATTTTTTAAGTGCAGTTAATTAGTCATTGCTCGCATTCCTCAAGAGTTAACTAATTGCTGAAAACAATGGAGCAAAAAGTGAGTTGAATGAATCAATGTCTAAAACAAAGTGGAATAAGAAGGTTGATTAGTTGTCTGGTAATCATCGCTTGCAAAGCTTGGGTACACATTTATTTTGCTCCTACAATATTTGAAAGCACAAAAATGCAAAAAGTTGTCTAAACTCGACATTTTGTGATCGCACAATCAAAGTTTTCATTAACACTCCGATGAAACCGCTGATGTATAACCGACGAAAAGTTGCTTATAGGCCTGCCGATCACCATGCAATTATACCCTTTGAGCCTACTACACAACGATTGATACATCGGCCGTAGATTGACGAGTAGAGCGGTCGCACGTAAAATGCATTTCTTGTCACCTTGTTTATCGCTAATTATAAAGAGTCCAATTGCAGCTTCAAAATAAAGAAAATATGTCATTATTTATTGTTTTGAAATCTTGAAATCGACTTTTAGTTCTTGCTAGAATTTAAAAAATATGTATGTACAGACATTTAGGTTTAGTAAGCTTGTGAAAAAATATACAGGGTCCAGGGGCTAAAAGTCCGTCATTGAACTCTAAGTATATTTTTTTCACAACTATTACAAGATACACTAAAATTTCCAAAATTGCAATAGTTTCAATTGTACTGCTTTGAGCGTTAAAATCAATATTTTAATGCAATCGAAAGTGTTTTTTTATCAAAATGTGTTCTGTCTGTTACCCGTTCTTGCAATTAGGTAATTTTTTCAAAAAATGGTTTTAACAGTTTCAAGTTTCACCGTTATTTCCAAAGTGAGAAAGTCACCTTTAGATGCATTTTGCAACCCCAGGCAATTTTAGACAATTATTTAAAACTGCGTTTGATTTTGAAGCTTTTTTTGCTGTTTTTGGCATTGATTTATTCAGGAATTAACGAAGTGAAGTTTTGATTTTCAGTAATCATAAGGTAATTTTCCCGAATTTTTCAAATTTGCATTTAAGCAAATTGTAGTTTGGTTTCAATTTATGGAAAATTTTCGTAGGTTCTATAGATTTTGTCGATTATGCTCTATTTACATCTATTTGAACATATTCTACTTCGTCCCAATTTTATTTATGCACATACCTTACATTAAATCGCTAATTGAACACTCGAAAAAATTACGTTATGGAAATTTGATAGGATTTATCACGAAAAAAGGTTAAAAGGTTAAATGTAATTATAGATTTAAAGAAATATATTTGGAATGGGCAATAGACGCGCGAAGACGCAGATAAAAAAAACAAAATAAAATAACGCCGTTTCCTTCTTGTGATCGGATTTTGAGCACTAAACTTTTGAATCTGAGCGGAATCAGGACGTAAAATTCAACTTTTTAAAAATGAATCGGATAAATCGCGGATTAGACGAACATATTCCCCATTTTCATCCTACTTTTCTGCACTATAATTTAACGTAAATCTCATTCAACATTAATTGTAATCTAATTCAATACATATTCATTTATGTAGGAAGCGATTTGGAAAATTGATAAGTGCTTTTAATGGGCCTCGTGCTATCTGACTATAGTTCTTCGGCTACGTAACGTTATTTTGCAAACATTGCGCTCCAGTTGTTGAAAAAATTCATGCGGATCAGAGAACACTGAAGCACGGCATTTCCTTTTATGAGAGGATATTTCTCTGTACTAATTTGCCAGAAATGCTAAAGTTCAGTCGTTCAGACCAGAAAAATCAGATAAACCGAAAAAAAAAATATATATAAAGATAGAGAAACATTCAGAAAGTTTTTCCGTAAACGAAGAAAAACTCTTCTGTTTATCTCCTTGGTGTAAGAGATGTTGGAATACCTTGGCGAGTTAATTTCCTGTTCCTAATCTGGCTAAACAAAAAAAAATAAAAAATTTTGTTAGGCTTTTACACGTTTACGCTGTTTGGAGACAATGGCTTCAAATCACCATTAGGTGGCAAGAATTGGACGAGAAGTCGAGATCTGATCGTGAAGCCTGTTGAGAAATACCCGGCTTGCAGCAATTCTGAATGAAAAAAATTGGTGTCTTGGGCGCCTATAAAAACCTGAATCACCCTGTAGAAAGACGGTAGTTAAAAGATCCGTTTTAAGCATTTTTCATTTTCATTGCACGGTTATGGCCATTTTTGCACAATATAATTGTTTTAACGAGTTAAAATTTAATTAACTAGTGCTGGAGAATTGCAAAAAAGAAAGCCACTATTGCCCGCTCTGCCTGCACTGTATTGTTAAATTCCTCTTGAACTTGCCAGTAAATCAAGCTTTTGATTATGAAGCCGTTCTTTTTACGTTGAGAACAATTGCTAATTGGCCACAAATTTAAACAAAAAGTGGGAAAACAATGCGACGTTTCGTTCAAGTATTTGTAGAAAGTAAAGCGAATCGATCTCGCCGCACTCTTAACAAAGCGAAAAAATCCTGATGAAAGACAATATCGCAGAAATGTTAATTCTGAGTATACTTAAATGGCATCGACAGTTTCGACTTGAGCGTATCACAATGAGAGGAATCTTCATCTTCACCGCTCTTGGGAAAATTGGTTGATTAAAAATACCAGAGTTTTTAATTGTTTAAATCCCTCCCTAAATCACATATTATTGAAGAAAACTGAAAAGAAAGACATTCAAAGTCTCTGAAATGCTTTAAATATTTTTTTGTGTCATATACAGGGTGGTCCAATTGTTCTAAACCGTTAGAGTTCGGTTAAATGAGACAAAATTTCGGTTTCGAAAATATTGGGAAAAAACCAAATACATTTTAGCCAAAACGTTATTTTGCAAATGGGGTTGAAGAAAATAATTATTCTTACAACATTCTATTCGCTTTGATAGCAAATTTGAGAAAATATAACTTTCATCATAATTTATGAGATATCGACACTAACTTCAATATTTTAACGGTGATAATTGCATTGGTGTAAAAAATACAAATGCAATGCGAGCAATTTCCTCAAAATATCCACGATGTAAAATGTTACTCCAATGTTTAAAAAAGGATGTTTTGAATTTCTTTTGGGTCTCGATGCAATAAAAATAAAAAATTGAAAAATAATAATTCTAATTAACAATTCGTGACTTAAAGTGTGTAATTTCTGGTTTAAATCGATTGGGCCACAATTTATTTAAACGAAAAATTATCCACTCTAATGCGATATTTGTTAATTTATTTTATCCAGTGTGCACACTAGTTCCTATAATTTTTCAAATTATTTTAAATCCTAAGCCAAATTTCAACAGTTAAACTAGTTAAAATTCATACTTTTTGATCGAATTTTTTGAGTAGTTTTAAGTCGGCTTTTATGTTGAACATCGAATCTGAATAAACCGAGCGTTTGTATTGATTTTGTTCACTTAATCATCGCATTCTTCTTCATACTACATTTGTTTCTGTACTTTTCATACTCAAGAATTSAGCGAGTTATTTTTCCTAAATTACATTTAACCAAGTAAACTGCAGTAAGGACTATTTCCTTCATAAACCTGCAGGGTTTCGGGTAAGGGTTGGGATTAAATATGTAAGTATGTATGTTTACGGAAAATCGTAAAATATTGTAGGAGGCATTTGACTTWATTGAAATTTGCTTTTATAGAAAAAACAATYTGGAAAGTTMMCAATGTTAAAAAGCATYATCAAAACATTGTTTTTCAGCCTGTTAGAACCGCGTCCCAAATCCACAGTTTAGTGGAAGTAGAAAACCTACCCGAAAATTATCATCTAAACAATCCGGAAAATTGTTCACACCCTTTACACCACAGTTGAGACTCACTGTTCAATTTAAACCATCAATAAATCCAACTTCCACACTAAAAACAACACTAAATTCGAACACGCAAAAAACACCCGCATTTACTGCCGCCGATGCACTTCGACAAATGTTCGAACCTCTAATGAACACGGTTTGGCTATTTTTTTTACGCTAAACGAATTCACCTGCTTCTCTCTGTGCATTCACCGAAACAGTTCTTTCCCTCACTTTGCCTTCCGAGTGATGACTGATGATTAACCAAGGAATACTTCCAAAGGAAAAATACGTTGGTTTTTTCGGTATTTTAATCTGCGGCGCGTTACTAATTAATGCCGAAAACGCTCCTCAAGGGAGTTCAAACCGTTCAACTTTTCATGGGAATGACTATGAATGATCAGCAGCATTGATTAAGGGCCCAAACAACAAAAGTAAGTAAAAGTTTTAACATTCGAGTAGGCACTTATTTCAAGTTGTGTTAATCTCAGGCACATTTCAAAATAGGTATCTACTTACATCAAAATTTGAATTAAAAAACAGAAATGTTTATTATTTAATTTTGTTAAAGATTAAATGAGCAAAAATCTAATACGCGTATAAAGACGGTAAAATGATTCCAGTGGTATCGTATATGCGAAAAATTCCTAATTAAGTCTTAATAATTGAATTGACTCAATAATAATCTAGAGAAAGAATAGAAAAATTAGAAAACAGTTAAAATCACACTTGCAGTGCAATTCAAACAGTGTTTTTGACCACAATTTTTGTATACATATTTAAGAGCCCAAAGCACAGATAAAGACGAATAAAAAAGCATGACTTCAGAGTAAAAGGAACTACTTTAGCAAAAAACAACAAAATTAATATTAATATAAATTAATAAGATTTATTCAACATTGTCCGACTGCAGTAACACCAACAAAGAAAAATAACTGCCCTTATCGTCTAACTTAATTAATTTTCCTGATGACGCAACACACTTATTATGTAATATTTTTCTTTCGTAAAAAGTACAGGAAGTTCTATGGCTGCCCACTGAAACGCGTAAGTTTTCGAAGCGGAAACGTTTCGAGATCGACAAAGGGGAACAGAATCGGGCCCCAACCCTCATAAAATTTCACTGAAAACACGATTTGTGTACATTGAATCGGTCCAACAAATAGACATTAAATACTAGGAGAATAATTGGAAAGAAAGTAAACAAATGGAGTTTACGATTAATTGTCTTCATTGATGCGTCAGTGGTCTTAAGTGCTTTGGTTGCAATCGTCCAAGAATTGGGAAGTCTGATTAAATTATACAGTTTTTGTAACATTTCGGTTTTTGTTTTGTAACTGCTTTTATAGCTAATTAGTAAGTGAGATTCTTAAACTTAACTCATTAAATCTAACAATAATTCAAATTCTCAGACACAAAAGACTAGAATTATTATGTTATTTTGTATTTATTGAAATGTTTTCAGTTTTTTGTAGTAGTTGGATGATGACAAGACGCCTCAATTTTATATAATTTTAATTTTACTAATGGAAAGTGTGTAACTGGCCAAACCAGTAGAAAATCATCTAACAAAAATACAAGAACAATTATTTCATGAATTATTGCAAACTTTCCAATAAAATAAATAAAAAACAGTGTATTAACTCGGTTTTCAAGTCATTAATACTAATTTAAAGCCACCAAATTAATTAGAGAAAAAGAAAGCAAATGAGCTCGTTTTTTTTAAGTAATAATAATAATGATGTACTACATGGCTACGGACTACATCAAATTAATTATAGCTTTATCTACTTTAAAAATTAATCTGTTATACAATGGTAATGAAAATATATACAGGGTGATACAAAATGGGCGGCATTCCTTTTAAGGGGTAATAGGGGCTCACTTGGAGGGTACGAGAAACATGTTTTCCAGAAGACTTGCGACTTAAGCTCGATTGAGCTCAAAAAATACGCATGTGAAACTTTGATTTTTGGTCGAAATTTTTCCAAGGGTGGAGGTCGATTTTTTGGAAAAATGAAAATTTTCTCAAAATTTTCTCAAAAAAAGTTTTACATCCGAAATAATAGACATTTGCGGCACATTTAAAGCGTATTTTGAGCGTTCACGATCTTTAACCGACGATTTCTTGCTTATTATTGACCCAAACACTTTATAAATGCATATTTGTGACCTTCTTGTGTCGAAAGGAATCGATTGAACTCAAAAAACACGCATGTGAAATTTTGATTTTTGGTCGAAATTTTTCCAAGGGTGGGGCTGGATTTTTTAAAAAAATGAAAATTTTCCCAAAATTTTTTATATTTTACATCATTCTAAATTACATTTTACCACATTCAGTTCTTTGCGCATTTGACAAAAAAAACCTTTATTTTTCAAGTATTAGAATACGCATTAAAGTGCAAGAATGTGAATTGAGTTTCAATGAATTTTGCGTTTTTCATTAGGGATATTTCAATTCATTTTAGTTTAAGTCACTTTTTTGACTTTGTTGTTCATTTTACTCCCAATGTGGACGAAAAATTGCCTAATAAATTCTTCACAACCGCACTGGCTCCTTTCATTTTAATTTATCTAATTATTGCTTTCAAAATTAAAATAAATAAAACATTCTGCAAAATTATATAAAACAGTCAAACAAGCCCTTCACATTTCGGAAACGCTTGTAACTGTTTCAAGCCGGTAATGGAAAGTTTATGATTTAAATAACGCAAAAACCATCAACATCCTGTCCTCAGTCATTTATACAAACTTTTTGCACATAAAAAGAAAGGAAATGCGAAATGAAAGTACTTTACATTAATCCAATTTGGCGTCATTGTTTCAGTTGTGATAATCAAATTTTTATCCGCACGACCAAGACACAGATATAAATAATAACAGCAATAAAGGCAAAATGATCGATGCTATTTATAATATAATCAGGCCAGTCGCTTGCTGAAACTCTTAAAGCTGCAATAAGTAACTGGAATTTTTAACTTAACAGCCTTTACGAAAGTGATCCAAAGATGATTGATCGTAATTACCGTAACTGGCTTGTCGATTACAAATAAACGCCAAGCTCTGATTTTGATTTTTTACCCTAGTTTTGTATAATTTATTACTCATGGAGAAAGTAACTTTTATGCATGGATTTCGCTTTTTTGCTGTCTATTATGAATTCAGTTTTCTTGTTTATGCAAAAGAAACTCTAATGACTCGGATGGAAACTGCAAAAAATGCAAAATGCTGCAAAACGTTTTGGTCGTTGATAATGTTGACATAACAGTAATATGAAAATAATTGAGCAAAATAAATTAATATCATAAAAACTTGCATATGTTTGGAAAACATTTGTCGAGGATTATAAAAGTCATATTTTATTTCTTACTTACAGAGTGGCAATTAAAAAACGGAACTTTAAAATTATCGGAAACCAAAACCAAGACTTTGAAGAATTTTCTGTAGTTATAAAAAATAATGGTATTATATAAAGTCGCTTTTATTTACGGCAGCTTTAACAATTGAATTCGCCAGGTAATCATCTTTTTGATCATCATTATTATTTTGAAATATTGTTGTTAGTCTTGGCGCTAAAATAGTCCAATTATTTTTAAACCATTGATTTTGATTTGTTGCTCGACAAATTTGAAACCAAGAATTTCCAAATATATTCCGGTGTTTTGTTGCCTACAAATAATTGTGGCTCAAGTGAAGACTATAATATAGCACGCCCTTAGAAACGTGACTTAAACGGTCACATGACTGATGCATCCAATAAGAACAATTACAGAATTTGAGTCACGTTGCATTCGACGTGGCTTTGAGGCAGGAATACGCAAGTTTCATTTCAAACTTCCCGTTCGCTTATTAGTTTTCCTGCTGTAGATGTTCAAGTGACGATAGTTTCATTTAAATTGGTGGAAATTTGTGAATCGATCCAATCAGAGCAAGCAGTATCTTTCCTATTATCCATTGGTAAGTTGATAAAACGCAACTTAGTAGTTATAATAAATTTACTTTACCAAAGAAACCCATCAAAATTGGAATTCCAACATATAATAAACAAAAAAATGTCCAATTTTCCACCAAAAAATGGTGAGATTACAAGCAACTGCGATTTGGAAAAAAAGTGAAAAATTAAATTATTTACTTTTATTTAATTTACAGACTAAATCTAACAGTCAATAATATTTTTTTACTGTAGTCCTGCAGAAAAATGGAAGTAGACTATCGATTTAAAATAAAGCATATGCGTAGGTTGCAGAGTATTTTGTTTATCCTTTACTTGTTGTTTCTTAAGTATGAAATCGCATGAAAACTAACAAAGCTATAAAAATCCTAATTATTGACCGATTTTCGACATAAAAAAATCACATCCTCCGCTGTGCATGGGGCATGATAAGGTTCAAAAATAGACAACAAAAAGTTTTAGTTAATGCTAAGGATGACAAAACTTACAGTTTTGCAGCCTTATTTTTTTCTGTTGTTTGAATAAGTTTAAGGGTTGATTCGCGTTATCGGAAAAACTCAAGCAATTGGGAAAATGCGACAAAACTGCAAAGAAATCCGTTGCTTTCAGAAAACCAGTCATTTCTCGCACCAAATACATGATTAACAACAAAAAAAACATTAGATTTAACTCTTTTGGGCACATTGAGCACCGCATAATATTTTTCGCTGTAAACAAAGGATAATTCTGAGCGAGTTTCTTTAACTAGGTACACTTAAATGCAAGTTAAATCAATCGATATCCCCCGGACATGTATTAATCAATGCGGTTGATTTCTCCGTAAAATATTGAAGAAAAGTAAAAAAAACATGAAAACCATTTGCAATAAATTTAAAAGAAAAATTTTTGAAAATCGTTTATTTCATTGCGTTTCGGCGAGACAACAGCGCCATTATCAGATTTAAAATTTACACAAACTCATGATTGGTAAAAATGACAGAATAGATAAGATGACGGACAAAAATAGTCACAAATTTGCAGGACATAAACTTTTTTAGGATTAATTGAGCGCGGTGGAACGACGAATCTATAGAGAAACTCTCTCAATTTTTGTTTGTTTATATAAATTGGGTTTAACGGAGATTTTAAACAGCGACTTGCTTTTTGAACAGCAATTACACAATTTGCCTCCTTAGGTGTCTCTCTTCTAAAATATTTTAAAACGAAAATTGCACCGATTAATTGGCAAAGGAATGGAACAACTGATAAGTATTGTTGGGCGAATGCTAAAAACAAGCCGCAGCGCTAAGGCTATCAGCGAGATGACTACTGAAAGTCCGAGACACCTCAGATTTAGAATGGGTACGTTAGATAATAGAGCGAGAATATTCGAGCGTTGCCAGTTAGTTAGCCAACGGAACCTTGCTTGCAATCAAAATAACTTGCAGAAAAAGCATGCACGAGAATTCAAATAATTAAACTGAAAATTCACTGTGCCCCTCCTCTATAGTCTTGAAAGTTACACCAAAAGTCCCACAGTAACGTGGATTCAGTGTAAGCAGCGGGCTCACGAAAAATGAGATCGTAAACAATGTTTAAAAGATTTGTCTTATTTTAATTGCGATAGCGACAACGGAAGCGATCCAATATGCAGAGCATTTACTTTTATAGAGCCAGGCCGTTTTGATTTGAATATTAATATTTTTCCTTTGAAATATTCCCTTAACAAGAAGATGATGTCTCTCGCAGACAAATTTAAGGTTTCAAGAAGGCAAAGACCTAAAAGAACGTTGACTTTTACCAATCATGAGTTTGTGTACATTTTAAATCTGATGATGGCGCTGTTGTGTCGCCGAAACGTAATGAAATAAACGATATTGTTTTTACTTCACACTTTGACTGAGACCCAGGAAAGATAAGAATATCATAACAAGTACACGCAGTCAGAAAAATGAATCAGAATTAAAAGAAAAATAAATCAATTTTTCTAGATCCAGTAAAACATAACGATGAACACCCGCCCCCATAGATGAACGTTGATGTGCTGGAATCTGCGGCCCACCAGGAGGGGAAGCACGCAGTACACTGGTTCCGAAAGGTCAGCCACTCAAAACTTCCCAAAAATAATTTGATTTAAAACTCCTTTTAAAGGGACTACGACTACACGACAACCCATCACTGAGGGAGGGCCTAAAAGGCGCTACAACCTTCCGTTGCGTCTTCGTCCTGGACCCCTGGTTTGCAAGTTCCTCCAATGTGGGAATCAACAAGTGGAGGTGCGAGACGCCAGAAGTAAGATTAAAACAGACGAAGAATCGCTTTGGAATTTCAGATTCCTGCTGCAATGCCTAGACGACCTGGACCGCAGCCTGAAAAAATTAGACTCCAGGCTGTTTGTAATCAGGGGCCAGCCTGCAGACGCGCTGCCTAAGCTGTTTCGCGAATGGGGCACAACGGCTCTCACCTTTGAGGAAGACCCGGAGCCTTTTGGGCGGGTTCGCGACCACAACATCACGACACTTTGCAAGGAAATGGGCATCACTGTTGACCAAAAGGACTCCCATACTCTGTATCAACTGCAAAATATCATTGACAGGTTGGTAGGAGTCGAAATGGGCTAAACCTTGAAGAATCGATCAAAAGAAATAGATTGAAACTGATGAATTTTTGGGCGTTTTGGACCGTAGTGGATCAGAATTTGCTACGCCGCGCAAACCACCTCCACCACCACCAGAACGTAATGTTTTCATCTCCTGTTCCAGAAACGGTGGAAAAGCCCCATTAACTTACCACCAATTTTTGGCGATAATCGCTCGTATGGGGCCACCCCCACAACCTGAACCTTCGGTTACCACGCACTCAGTCCACAATGCCCACACCCCTTTATCGGATGACCACGATGAAAAGTATGGCGTTCCCACTCTGCAAGAGCTGGGCTTCGACATTGAGGGCCTCAATCCCCCAGTTTGGCAGGTGATAACTTTGCTGATCAGTTGGGGGAAATCTACGTCTAAACTCACCTGATCAGGGTGGTGAAACTGAAGCGCTGACCAGGCTGGAACGACATCTGGAGAGAAAAGCGTGGGTAGCATCGTTTGGAAGACCGAAAATGACGCCGCAATCACTTCTGCCCTCGCAAACTGGGCTGTCGCCCTACTTGCGGTTCGGCTGCCTCTCTACTCGGCTCTTCTACTATCAACTTACCGACCTTTATAAAAAAATTAAAAAGGTCAGCTTCCCTAAAAGTGGAACAACGCGTTGCTTGTATTAAACTGGTTAGCTATTTCAGGCATTCCCCCCATTGTCTTTGCATGGACAGTTGTTGTGGCGCGAATTCTTCTACTGTGCAGCGACTAAAAATCCCAACTTCGATAAGATGCTTGGGAACCCGATTTGCGTCCAAATCCCTTGGGACAAGAACGCGGAAGCGCTAGCAAAGTGGGCAAATGTAACTATAAAAGCACAAAATAACGCCCAGTTCCATGAAGCGGCAGAGGTGAGCTTTCTGTTTCGCTGCAGGGGCAAACGGGCTTTCCATGGATTGACGCGATAATGACCCAGCTGAGGCAGGAAGGATGGATTCATCACTTAGCAAGGCACGCCGTGGCTTGCTTTTTAACCCGGGGGGACTTGTGGATATCCTGGGAAGAGGGGATGAAGGTAAATGGGCACTTTCTGGAAAAGCCGCTGAAATAAAGTATGAACGCTAAGGTCTTTGAGGAACTACTACTAGACGCGGATTGGTCGGTGAATGCTGGAACATGGATGTGGCTTTCATGCTCCAGCTTCTTCCAGCAATTTTTCCACTGCTATTGCCCGGTGAAGTTCGGGAGAAAAGCCGATCCCAATGGAGACTACATTAGGTATGCGCTGTTAAAAACTGCGTGCAAACCTTTCCAGCCGGATGTTCCAGGAAATACTTGCCAATGCTAAAGAATATGCCCACTCAGTATATCCATGAGCCATGGATGGCTCCCGACAACGTTCAAAAGGGCGCTAAATGTACCGTGGGACTACACTATCCCCTGCCCATGGTCAATCACATCACCGTCAGTCGACTGAATATCCAAAGAATGAAACAGGCACGATTAAACCACTAAATTGCGATGTAAAAAATTATCCCTGCTGTATTCTAGGTTTATCAACAGCTTTCCAACTACAGGCCCAGTGAATTATCGAGCAATTGCTCATACCTGAAAAAGCCCGCCAAACCAGATCATTTTAAATACCATCATCAAGCCAAATTCTAGTTGTGCATCGCACTTTCATAGAAATCGTAGACTTAGTCGTATTTAGACGTTTTGTCCACAATATTTGTATATGAAATATAGTCTACTTGACTTTTTCTACTAGTACGCCCTTTACGCAGCTTTATTTAAACCCCACCGAATAAAAGGACTGGAAATGATGCGAAAGGAAAGTCAACTGCGACTAGGAAACGATGAACTCAACGCGATCTTTTCTATCTTTAAGTTTAATTAGTCTTATCAAATTAGCTGCTTAAAATAAATTTGAATGCGTATAGTACCTTAATCAGGCTTATTGTTGAGGGCATACAGCACAACATCCGAGGAATTAAGGGCCAACAGAGGATCGAAAGTCTTGCTTGCAGCTGGCGAAACAACAGCCTGTTTAGCTGAAAAAAAAATTGGGTTGAAGATTTTATGCCGGAAAACTCAACAATGCATGTACAACTTTGATCAGTGAGGGCTAGGGCCTAAGCGCTGCAGAGCTCTTTTAGAGAAAGACTTTACTTGCGTCGTATGCACTTGACCTGAAGTGTTATCATTTAATATAACGCGAATGCCTAGTGTTTAGTCTACTAAGTCTTAATATTTTAATAGAAGACGAAATTTAACTTGTGTGCTTTGCACTCGCAAATTATACTGTTGAACTACTTCACTCACCTGCCTTAATCTCATGCTCCAATTCCAACAAATCTGGCATAGATAACCCGACCTCCCTATTGGTTGCTCTCTCCGTAATTACAGTACTAATTTCGTTAACGATTGGAATCGGTTTCGGACTGTCCGCAAAGAAAATCGAAATTTGATCGCTGCTCTCCTTCAAAAATTTATCGATGGTTTCATTTCCGCTCAGCAAGTTTTCATTGCAGGTGTCGATGTTAAAGTCCATATTTTCTATAGTTTTTTGCAGGTCCATCAATTTATCAAATTCATCGTCAATTTGCTTCCTCTGCAATCATGGTATTATTTTTTGGAAAAATCGTTAAATTAAATAGCAAACCTTTTTGGAGTTACCAGTAACCCGGTCTTTTTCCTTTACCTGGCCGCAAACATTCTTATAATCGTCGGGATGTTTCTTCAATATATGTCGATGCAATGACGACTTGAGCTTCACTTTCAAATCGCATATTGGACACTTGAATTTTAATTCTTGCACTTCAACCTGACTGGAATTGATTTTCATACGACTTGAGGAAAACTTTTCTGGATGTTTGGTTCTTAAATGCCGGCGAAGCGAGCTTTTCAATTTGACTTTAATCTTACATGTTGGACACTCATATGCGTCTTCAAAGAGTTCTTCCTTCCCATGAACCATCTTCAAGTGCCTGGATAGATTACGCGAATATTTGAATGAGTGCGTGCAGAGGTTGCATTTATATTTTGAATTGTCGTGGAACGATTTCATATGGTCTTGCAGGTATTTATTACTTTTAAATTTCCTGTTACAACTCGGACATTGAAGGCCCTAAAATTACGAAGTTTATAAGAATGTATCAAACTTTGAGCTTAAAGTAGCTTACCTCAGCTTTGCCTTGCATGTGAATATTGGTTAAATGCATTTTCAAAGCATCTCCTCTATAAAACACTTTATCACAGATCTTACACTCGTATTGCCTAGATTTGTTATGGATTGTATGTACGTGTCGCTGATAAATCAGCTTTGATGAGAAAGTTTCGCTGCATTCTGAGCAAATGTATGTTGTCGATATGCCGTCACTCAAGTGATTCTTCTTGTGCTTCCTTAGACCCATTTCGGAAAAGAACATCTTGGGACAGGCGGCACATTTGAGAACTTTTCGCTTTTCTTTGGGGAGCTTTCTGCAATAATGATTCTTGAGTTCAGTGGAAGAAAAGCAGAGTTTTTGGCACGATGGGCAGGCATGTTTCTTCTCATGGAACACCGATATATGTTTTAATAGGTATTTCTTCTGATAGAAGATTCTTTCACATTTAGGACATTTAAGAGAGTATACTCGGTTACATTTGTGATACTTGAAGCTTTCTGGCCGTCCAAAAATCTAAAAGTGTTATTAAGTCCTAGTGAAGTTCCAATCGATTAAAAACCTGGCTCACCTTTTTACATTCAGGACAAAAGTAGTTTCCTATGTGCAATTTTAAATGATTTGAAATTCCTTTTACATTCGGAAACTTCTTTAAACATATATCGCAAACAAAATACTTCTTATGAACGTCCTTTGCTCCATTTTGCAGGTCGATATTAATTCCTAACAACTCACTTCCAAATAGTAAATCGGGGTTTTCGTAATTTTCCATCTCGAAAAAGGGTGGATCGCTTTGTGGTAGCAGAGAATCCGAATTATTCAGGCTCTCATTTAAGCACTGAGCAAGTAAAGGCCCGCCTATATTATTACTTTTTGCCTGTTGCTTAGCCTCAGGTTGTGGTTTTTCGGCCACTTTTGAAAAGATTGGTTGGGGTGTTTTTTCTGTTGGCTCTGGACGACAAAATCTGATATGGTGTTTAAAATGCTACAACGAAAATTAAAATTAAAAGCCAAATCACTGGCAAATTTCCCTAAACTTACCGTTGAGTAACGGAAATGATTGTTGCAAGACAAGCATGTTCTTTTCTCTTTAATTGCATAATGCGTTAACAAATGCTTGGCGAAATCAGAAACATTTTTCTCCAGTTTGTAGCAAAATTTGCAATTCCACACCACATGAGGAACAATGTTTTGTTGTGCTTTGATCAGCGTGTTTAAGTCATCTGCCGCAGGTTTGCACTCAACTAAAGAAAATTGTTAACAGTTGGCTTAGGGGGTATTTCAACTATTTAGGCCGAATGATTAACCTGTTTCCACTTGCAGTTGTGATGACTCCTTAAAGGTGAGTGTATTTTTCTGCATTTTGAACGCATAGTAGGGCGAGTACCACACTTTCAGTTCTTCACCAGGCAATATGTCCCTTATTGTGCCAAAAAAGATATCTTCATTTTCCTAAAATTATTGACTCAATATTCGTTCATTTGTTAAAGAATGCTTGTTGCACCTGATAGCAAATTAAGTTTTGCTCCTCAACATCACTAGCAGGCTTGACGAACATCATCCAGCAACAATCATTTTCCTCCACAGTATCCAGGTAATACTCGGACAAGTCTGATTCATTTTCGTGAAACACTTTGATGGGAAATACGGCAAATGGGTGTAAAGTTAAGGTTTTCTTCGCTACAAACGGTCCAAATTCCGTACCAGCTTCCAGCATCACTTTGCTGAATATTGAGTAACTTTCATCGGCCAGTTTGCGGATTTCCAGAATATCTGGCAACGATTGTTTGGCTCTAGATGGAACTTCTCTATCAGGAACCTGTGAATTGGGAATAGTCGTATTTAGTTCGTTTTTACGACAAAACAGACAAGTGATTTTAAGAGCAGAAATCAGCTGCAATATTGTGAATAACATTCAATATGACCTTAGTATTAATAATCACATATTTGCAGTCACGATAGAAATGAGGATCACCACATATTCCACACTTTGTAGGCAGAACACTGCCCTTATCCGATTCTTCCTTTGAATTATCAGGCAATTCCATATTTCATTAAACCCGAAATAATAAGAAAATCGGTCTGTACAGTAAAAACCTT